ATATACCAATAATACAATAATATTATATATTTATTTATATATACATCAGATTTGGTCAGTGTAAAGGTCACAATTTATTAGACAGCCCGAGACCTTTTTAAAAAAACACTGAGGAGTAAAGTCCCTGATACACAGTTGACTAGTTGCTATGGGCAGCAAATGAAATAAATGTTCTCTATAACTAGACAACCAGGACATATAACAGCACTCTCTCAACCCTGCTGCAGTTCCTGTACCTGCTCTCAATAGTAGTGCTCTCTGTGCAGCAAGTAGCTTCTTCCTTCTGAGAGCCGAGCCTCGTTCTGGGGCTACTCTAGAGATCACATGACCTTCCTCCAGGAGGCAAGCCTCACTCTGAAACTTTACCCACTGATATCTTACCGGAAAGGTTTACTCAGAGTAAACCTTTCAGGGAGAAAATGCCTCTCTCGCGGACATCAGGGAGCTGCTGTCCAAAAGAGGGAGACTCCCTGAACATCAGGGAGACTTGAGATCCCTGATTATGTTGTATACTAGCAAATCTAACATTGAGAATAATGATGGACAAATCTGTTACCTCCATATATGTTCACCTTCAGAATGCATATTGTCAGTCAAATATTTACAAGTAACATACCCAATAACACAATTCTGTGTCATACATTTTCACTGAGATATCCATGAATCTTAATACAATCCTTTCAATTGAACCCAGAGTTGGCTGAGCACCATTATTTATTGCTGCTAGATAACAGAATGCAAACAGATACATATCCTTGAACATTGATTTCAATGTTACCCAGTAACAACACCCATACCCTTACTACACAGCGAAAGTATGAGGACGAGAGCACTGGAACTTGGAATTTCAAAAACACATCCTCAATGGAAGTTCCTGACATGTCCTGTTTAAAGAAACCTGTAGTAAGAAAAACAAGAAAGCTGCCAATAAAGAACCATTGCTGACCTCCTTCTGGCATTTTCAGAAAGAGAGATTAGAAATAGCAGCCCACAAATGCCGCTCACTACAGCAAACATGCACACATCACCAGCATCCACTAGGTGGTAGCATCAGAACACTCAAGTGTTAGGTACAGTATGCAGTAGTTGCCCTAAAGTCCATTTCCATCTTTGTAAGTGATTAGCATTTATTGTGGCATTGAAGAGGTGCAGTGATGATGTGTGCACATTTTCATGACTCATATTGCTGGCTTTTTTTCATTTTTTTTAATAAAGATTTTATTAGACCTGAATCCTAGAAATAAAAAATTTTCTCCACAAGAAACTCAGTCTGATTCTGGGGTCAGACTGTAAAGCAGCCTGTAAAAAGCTGCCTCCCTGCCTGTAGTTCTGTGTAGCATGATCACTAAACATCAGCTCTGCCTTTACACACATTGTCAAGAGGATGTTGCCACTATTAATACTAATGAATGGGGGCGGGGAAAGCTCATTTGTAATATATACACTTTGCTTGCAGAGCACAGAAGTGGCCATTTCCATGAGGAAATGAAGTGGCAAGCTAACAAGATATTTACGTTTCTGTGTTCACATACAGCAACTGCATATGACTGATTTATGTACATCCTGTGTACTTTGTATCATATGTTTTTAGAAATACCTGCAGCGATTGAATTGGGCTTTAAAAGTTAAAGCAGCAGTTTGTTCCATATAATGAAAAAATATTGTCTGGATAATTGTTCTATGTTCAGTGTGTGTACATGCCAATTAAAAATGCCTACATTTGTATGTCGGAGTCATCCAAGTGTTGCCCTGAAACATGTCAATAGAAATAAATCAATGAAACTGATGTTTTCCTTTCCAAACAAATTAAACAGAATATGGAAACGTAGAATACATATTTAATGGGCCGTATTAGCTTTCCACTGTACTGATAACAATGCTACTGAAAGATATATAATATTTAAAATATAGATGTAGAGAAGTAGAAAGTATACAATGTAGAGAGAAACAGGTTTTAAAATGTATTTCCACTTTTGCAGCCAAATTGGGATAACACCTATTTTATATTTGTTGCATGTTCCCATTCACATATCATAATTTTTAATGAGGGAATATGAAAGCTTGTTGACAGATGGACAAAGTGTATTGAAAAGCAAGGAGATTATGTCAAAAAATGATGTATTTGGCTGTAGAATTTTTTTTAATCAACTTTTAGAAAAGACAGAGTGCAGATAATTTCTGACTCACCATGTACTTATAAGTTAACTGTTTCACCTAAAGGATTTGTGATTCCGTTCAGCCATTCATGAGAGTTACACATCTACCGTACTATACAGCCAAACAGAAAACACCTTCCTGGCTCAACAGTGCAGATTCCTAGGTCACCTGTCCACCCCCAGCTTGTCCAGTGAACATTAAAGCCCAACTGAAGTTTTATTGTAAATCAGCTAAAATGTTCCAGGTGCATTCAAACAAAAGCTGATCAAAGTCTTTTCTTTATTTTCTTTAGAAAGCAGCCATATAACATGGCTTTCTATGAGGAAGCTGTGGTCTCTCTCTGCAGATGTCCAACACACCCTCTGTTAAGTCAGACCTATAGCTTTGCAATTAGCAAACCTCATGCCACCTGCTGATTGGAGAGCTCTAGCTCTGGCTCAGCAGGGGGTGTGTCAGACCTCTACAGAGAGACAGCTGTTTCCACACAGACAGCAAGGGACCTTTGCTGTACATGCTTGAAAGAAACAAGCTTTTCTATTCAGACTGTGGCTGCTTTTCATTGAAAACAAACTGTACGACTTGGCAAGTCTTTTGTTTTGATGCTCATGGAATGCATTTTGTGCCGCCCCAATAGGGGCATAGAATATGAGATGCATAGCCTCAGTTAATATTAGCATTGTTATATAGGTTAGAATTTATATAGTGTGATTTGCCTAACTATTTTCTCATAGCTAAATCCATGTGTTATCCTATGCTGCCATCTAGTGGCCTTTTGTTGTAACAAACATGTTTTTCGTAAGAGAGCCGAGCCTCGTTCTGGGGCTACTCTAGAGATCACATGACCTTCCTCCAGGAGGCAAGCCTCACTCTGAAACTTTACCCACTGATATCTTACCGGAAAGGTTTACTCAGAGTAAACCTTTCAGGGAGAAAATGCCTCTCTCGCGGACATCAGGGAGCTGCTGTCCAAAAGAGGGAGACTCCCTGAACATCAGGGAGACTTGAGATCCCTGATTATGTTGTATACTAGCAAATCTAACATTGAGAATAATGATGGACAAATCTGTTACCTCCATATATGTTCACCTTCAGAATGCATATTGTCAGTCAAATATTTACAAGTAACATACCCAATAACACAATTCTGTGTCATACATTTTCACTGAGATATCCATGAATCTTAATACAATCCTTTCAATTGAACCCAGAGTTGGCTGAGCACCATTATTTATTGCTGCTAGATAACAGAATGCAAACAGATACATATCCTTGAACATTGATTTCAATGTTACCCAGTAACAACACCCATACCCTTACTACACAGCGAAAGTATGAGGACGAGAGCACTGGAACTTGGAATTTCAAAAACACATCCTCAATGGAAGTTCCTGACATGTCCTGTTTAAAGAAACCTGTAGTAAGAAAAACAAGAAAGCTGCCAATAAAGAACCATTGCTGACCTCCTTCTGGCATTTTCAGAAAGAGAGATTAGAAATAGCAGCCCACAAATGCCGCTCACTACAGCAAACATGCACACATCACCAGCATCCACTAGGTGGTAGCATCAGAACACTCAAGTGTTAGGTACAGTATGCAGTAGTTGCCCTAAAGTCCATTTCCATCTTTGTAAGTGATTAGCATTTATTGTGGCATTGAAGAGGTGCAGTGATGATGTGTGCACATTTTCATGACTCATATTGCTGGCTTTTTTTCATTTTTTTTAATAAAGATTTTATTAGACCTGAATCCTAGAAATAAAAAATTTTCTCCACAAGAAACTCAGTCTGATTCTGGGGTCAGACTGTAAAGCAGCCTGTAAAAAGCTGCCTCCCTGCCTGTAGTTCTGTGTAGCATGATCACTAAACATCAGCTCTGCCTTTACACACATTGTCAAGAGGATGTTGCCACTATTAATACTAATGAATGGGGGCGGGGAAAGCTCATTTGTAATATATACACTTTGCTTGCAGAGCACAGAAGTGGCCATTTCCATGAGGAAATGAAGTGGCAAGCTAACAAGATATTTACGTTTCTGTGTTCACATACAGCAACTGCATATGACTGATTTATGTACATCCTGTGTACTTTGTATCATATGTTTTTAGAAATACCTGCAGCGATTGAATTGGGCTTTAAAAGTTAAAGCAGCAGTTTGTTCCATATAATGAAAAAATATTGTCTGGATAATTGTTCTATGTTCAGTGTGTGTACATGCCAATTAAAAATGCCTACATTTGTATGTCGGAGTCATCCAAGTGTTGCCCTGAAACATGTCAATAGAAATAAATCAATGAAACTGATGTTTTCCTTTCCAAACAAATTAAACAGAATATGGAAACGTAGAATACATATTTAATGGGCCGTATTAGCTTTCCACTGTACTGATAACAATGCTACTGAAAGATATATAATATTTAAAATATAGATGTAGAGAAGTAGAAAGTATACAATGTAGAGAGAAACAGGTTTTAAAATGTATTTCCACTTTTGCAGCCAAATTGGGATAACACCTATTTTATATTTGTTGCATGTTCCCATTCACATATCATAATTTTTAATGAGGGAATATGAAAGCTTGTTGACAGATGGACAAAGTGTATTGAAAAGCAAGGAGATTATGTCAAAAAATGATGTATTTGGCTGTAGAATTTTTTTTAATCAACTTTTAGAAAAGACAGAGTGCAGATAATTTCTGACTCACCATGTACTTATAAGTTAACTGTTTCACCTAAAGGATTTGTGATTCCGTTCAGCCATTCATGAGAGTTACACATCTACCGTACTATACAGCCAAACAGAAAACACCTTCCTGGCTCAACAGTGCAGATTCCTAGGTCACCTGTCCACCCCCAGCTTGTCCAGTGAACATTAAAGCCCAACTGAAGTTTTATTGTAAATCAGCTAAAATGTTCCAGGTGCATTCAAACAAAAGCTGATCAAAGTCTTTTCTTTATTTTCTTTAGAAAGCAGCCATATAACATGGCTTTCTATGAGGAAGCTGTGGTCTCTCTCTGCAGATGTCCAACACACCCTCTGTTAAGTCAGACCTATAGCTTTGCAATTAGCAAACCTCATGCCACCTGCTGATTGGAGAGCTCTAGCTCTGGCTCAGCAGGGGGTGTGTCAGACCTCTACAGAGAGACAGCTGTTTCCACACAGACAGCAAGGGACCTTTGCTGTACATGCTTGAAAGAAACAAGCTTTTCTATTCAGACTGTGGCTGCTTTTCATTGAAAACAAACTGTACGACTTGGCAAGTCTTTTGTTTTGATGCTCATGGAATGCATTTTGTGCCGCCCCAATAGGGGCATAGAATATGAGATGCATAGCCTCAGTTAATATTAGCATTGTTATATAGGTTAGAATTTATATAGTGTGATTTGCCTAACTATTTTCTCATAGCTAAATCCATGTGTTATCCTATGCTGCCATCTAGTGGCCTTTTGTTGTAACAAACATGTTTTTCTGTAATTATTCCTCATGTGACGACGTATTTCCCCCTAGTGTACGCCCCTTCCTTCTTCCTGTGTGCAGTACTTCCTGTGTCATGGCCACAGTTAAAAGCCACATGTAACAAGGACGCACATGTAATCTGCACAGTACGTAGGAAAGGCATCATTTTCTGACCGCACAATACTATAACCAGTCATCTGCTGTTCCCATCATCTGCTGTAATCCTGATGTTAAGAATAAAGATTGTCCGCAGTGAGTATATCTGCTTATACAGGCCAGGCATAGAGGTCTCAGCAAGGGATATATTTCGCTATCACAACGATCGGAGTCAGAATATATTTAGTTGATATAAAATAAACTTGAACTTTAAATCAGCATCATTGCCCCTGTCCAGTGAACAGGGAGCTGACCCAGGAAGCAGTAATGCTAAGTCAGAAAGTAATCTTTATGACCAGTAGAGGTGTATTTCACAAAACTAGCTAGCCAAAGTACAACTTAAGGAGGTGAACCAGTAAAAATTATATATATACAGTATGTATTGTTCATGTAGATGTTTGCCTGGAGCTCCACTTTATTGACCTACAGAACAGTTGTGAGCCTTATACAACTGAAATCCTAACATTGCCAATGTCTGGAGGAGTAAGAGAGTGTGACATAGCTGCCCACACTGCATATTTGTTAAAAAAATATATAAATACTGAGCCCTCTCAATTCTTTATTCTTCTCTAGGTATACATCATGGAGACTTTAATGACTACAATATACTATTGCAAAAGTCTAACACGTCAGATGGAAACACCACAGAACAGTACCAAGTGTCAGGAATTCTGGATTTTTGTGACATGAGCTATGGTTATTATGTTTTTGAAGTGTCAATCACAATAATGTACATGATGATCGAAAGTAAGGACCCTCTCCCTGTAGGGGGGTATGTACTTGCAGGATATGAAAGTGTCATCCCATTGACCAGAGAAGAAAAAGAGGCCATCTTTACCTTGGTGTGCAGTAGATTCGCTCAGTCTCTAGTCATGGCCAGGTACAGCGTCTTGCTCTGTCCATCCAATGAAGAGTACCTTATGATAACTGCTAAAACTGGCTGGAAGCATTTAATCACGTTGCTTGATATGGGCAAAGAAGCCATACAGAAAATCTGGGAAGAAACTGCAAGAGGATACCGCAAGAACATGATGCAGATCTAATTTATTAAAGCGGAACTTTGTGAAAATTTTTAATTAACTCCCACACTGCAAGGGGTAAGTGCTCGTTTTGGTCTAGGGAGGAAAATAAAGTTATATTCACCCGATCCTCTGAGCACACTGTGCCAGCTCTCCCTCCACCATGTCCCCTCCTCTGCTGCAGCGATAGTATGTCCCTTGGCATCCTCATGTTCTATACAATGTGTACAGAATGTGATGACTCAGGGACCTTAGACCCCCTGCAGCGGAGTGGAAGAGAGGCTCCAGGGACCAGTCTAAGAGTCAGCCGGCTAATAAGATCGAGCAGGTATATATATATTTTTTGTTTTCCTCCCTTGACCAAAACCAGCACTTGCACTGCGGGGGGTAGCCCCACTGCAAGAGTTAATAAAATATTAAGATAAAAATGTAATGTTTGGATTAATACTTCAGGAGAAATCATGAATGTAAGGTAAAAATCAAGTTCTAGGATATTAAATTTGCTGGCATTTTTAAAGGAGCGGAATTCTAAAATTTGTACACCATTCGCTCGTATTGCGCTTTGGGGGTCTGAATCCCAGTCACTTCAGCCACACATATTAAAGGAGAACTATGTGGTTAGGGCTTTTCCCCATAGTTCTCCTTAGGGTAACGGGAGGACACAAACTAGCGTCCTCCCGTCACCCTAAGCGCAGTATACCGCGAGCTACAGCTCCCGGTATACTGAGACGCCGCAGCTGAAGCGGATCCCGACAATTATGTCGGGATCCGCCCAGCTGTGTGAGTGACAGCTGGTTCTGCCTATCAAGAGGCAGAGCCAGCTGTACCCGCCCCGTCCGTTCCGCCAGTCAGCGCTGGAAGATCGGAGCGGGGAATCCAGCCCTTCCCCTGTCACGGCTCTATGACGTGACAGGATCCCGAAGTGAGCGAACACCGGTATGTGTTCGCTCACTTCCCGATCTACTGAGCCGACCTGTGACAGTTTCATTGTCACAGGTCGGCTAGAACTATGAGGTGAGTGAAAAGCACTCACCTCATAGTTCTCCTTTAAGGATCTAACAGCTAAATGGTCTGCTGGAAATATAGGGAAGTGACAATCACAATAATGTGATTGCATAATTCTGGAAAAATTAATACATTTTTGGTTAAAAAAAAATGGTGAACACATCTGCAGAACTATCATTCTATTAATTTAATGGGGACCGTCCAGGGAACAGTTCTGCTATAAGTTCATGGTCGCTAAAACGACCATGAGCTTATAGCGGAACTGTAAATGCCACTGACATAAGGCATACTGACCTGGCCATTTGGGAACAGTTTTGCTCCGCCGTATGTGTTACGTCGGTGGCAGGGAAAGGGTTAAAGTCAAGTTCCACCTTTGTAAGTGATGAATATTTATTGTGGTAATGAAGGGGTGCAGTGATGATGGGTATGTGTGCACATTTTCACGACACACATTGCAGGCTTTCTTGATTTTTTATGAAGGTTTTATTAGGCCTAAAGCCTAAAAATTCAAAATGTTCTCCACAGGAAATTCAGTCTGACACCAGGGGATATACACACCTTGCTTCCACAGCTCAAAGGCAGACAATTCCATGAGGATATAAAGAGGAAAATGAACCAAAAAATAATAATTTCTGTGTTCATATACATCATTTGCATATGCCTGCTCCATATACACTCAATGTACATTGTAGGCATATGTTTAAAAAAAAATACCTCTGCAGAGGTGGAATTGGGCTATAAAGCTTAATAAAATCAAGAATGTTTTATCAAATATAAGTAGATGCATGCATTTACATTTTTAAATGGATATCTGTGTTAACAGAAATACAGTGTGTTGACAGAACTTCAATTACTGACCTCTCTCTTTCTCTATGAAAAGATCTGTCTGTCTTGCTAAAATAGTGGCTTCAGTTCATTTTGAGCCAGGAACAAGCAACCCACTAAAGTTAGACTGAAGTCAGAACTTTTGTTATGGGTGTGTAATGAGAAGAGCAATTTCTTTTAGCACAGGTTTCCTTTAGGTTTTAAGATAACTTGCCGGTGCTCTGATAAAGACATTTATTCAGTGCAAATACACTTAAATTATATTTGAATCTGTTTAAATATATCTTTTAAAGCAGAATTTAAGCTTGGAGGGTGTTACCCTCTGGCAGGTGGTGCAGGCTTTCTCAGGGCAAGGAATTAATTGGTCTTCAACAGAACTCTGATGGTGGAGATAGGTTGGAAATCGCTGTGGTTTCCGGAACTCTTTGCCATAACTAGCACTAGGTTGCTACCCATGGAATTGCCCCACCAGGGGTAGCAGGTACAGGAGAGCTACAGTATGGAGACAGGAGACCAAAGCATAGTCAGGATCAGGTCCTGGTAGGTGGCAAGCAGAAAGAAGTCAGACAGTCTGGTTTGCAATGAGTAGGTGATAAACTAGGCTGGGGACAAGAGCGTTGATGGGGGCGTTCAGGCAGTGGCCTGGGCAGAGGGCAAACGAAGGGTAGTCAGACAGTCTGAGTCAGCAACAAGGGGGCAGAAAACAAGGCAGAGGATGAGAGAGAATATTTGGGCAATTCAGGTCAGCAAAAACAGGTAAGAGGCTTTGGCATTATAGCCCATTTCCAAACTCATAGCTTTGTAAGTGATTGGCATTTATTGTGGTAATGTAGAGGTGCAGTGATGATGCATATGTGTGTACAAGTCTTACAAATGCAAAATTTTCTCCATAGAAAACTCTGGCTGACTCCGGGGTTCAGATTGTAAAGCAGGCTGCAAAAAGCTGCCCCCTCCATGTTATTCATTACAATACGATCACTCAACGCCAGCTCTGCCTTTCCAGGATACAATACACAGTCCGGGGGGGTTGCCACTATGAATACTAATGAATGGGGGGAGAAAGCTCACAGAGAGCGCAGGTGAAATCTAAATAGATCTCTGGCAGAACACAGAGTCAGCCATTCCAATCAGGAGGTGAAAAGGACAGCTAACTAAATTCTAAAATTTGTACACCATTCGCTCGTATTGCGCTTTGGGGGTCTGAATCCCAGTCACTTCAGCCACACATATTAAAGGAGAACTATGTGGTTAGGGCTTTTCCCCATAGTTCTCCTTAGGGTAACGGGAGGACACAAACTAGCGTCCTCCCGTCACCCTAAGCGCAGTATACCGCGAGCTACAGCTCCCGGTATACTGAGACGCCGCAGCTGAAGCGGATCCCGACAATTATGTCGGGATCCGCCCAGCTGTGTGAGTGACAGCTGGTTCTGCCTATCAAGAGGCAGAGCCAGCTGTACCCGCCCCGTCCGTTCCGCCAGTCAGCGCTGGAAGATCGGAGCGGGGAATCCAGCCCTTCCCCTGTCACGGCTCTATGACGTGACAGGATCCCGAAGTGAGCGAACACCGGTATGTGTTCGCTCACTTCCCGATCTACTGAGCCGACCTGTGACAGTTTCATTGTCACAGGTCGGCTAGAACTATGAGGTGAGTGAAAAGCACTCACCTCATAGTTCTCCTTTAAGGATCTAACAGCTAAATGGTCTGCTGGAAATATAGGGAAGTGACAATCACAATAATGTGATTGCATAATTCTGGAAAAATTAATACATTTTTGGTTAAAAAAAAATGGTGAACACATCTGCAGAACTATCATTCTATTAATTTAATGGGGACCGTCCAGGGAACAGTTCTGCTATAAGTTCATGGTCGCTAAAACGACCATGAGCTTATAGCGGAACTGTAAATGCCACTGACATAAGGCATACTGACCTGGCCATTTGGGAACAGTTTTGCTCCGCCGTATGTGTTACGTCGGTGGCAGGGAAAGGGTTAAAGTCAAGTTCCACCTTTGTAAGTGATGAATATTTATTGTGGTAATGAAGGGGTGCAGTGATGATGGGTATGTGTGCACATTTTCACGACACACATTGCAGGCTTTCTTGATTTTTTATGAAGGTTTTATTAGGCCTAAAGCCTAAAAATTCAAAATGTTCTCCACAGGAAATTCAGTCTGACACCAGGGGATATACACACCTTGCTTCCACAGCTCAAAGGCAGACAATTCCATGAGGATATAAAGAGGAAAATGAACCAAAAAATAATAATTTCTGTGTTCATATACATCATTTGCATATGCCTGCTCCATATACACTCAATGTACATTGTAGGCATATGTTTAAAAAAAAATACCTCTGCAGAGGTGGAATTGGGCTATAAAGCTTAATAAAATCAAGAATGTTTTATCAAATATAAGTAGATGCATGCATTTACATTTTTAAATGGATATCTGTGTTAACAGAAATACAGTGTGTTGACAGAACTTCAATTACTGACCTCTCTCTTTCTCTATGAAAAGATCTGTCTGTCTTGCTAAAATAGTGGCTTCAGTTCATTTTGAGCCAGGAACAAGCAACCCACTAAAGTTAGACTGAAGTCAGAACTTTTGTTATGGGTGTGTAATGAGAAGAGCAATTTCTTTTAGCACAGGTTTCCTTTAGGTTTTAAGATAACTTGCCGGTGCTCTGATAAAGACATTTATTCAGTGCAAATACACTTAAATTATATTTGAATCTGTTTAAATATATCTTTTAAAGCAGAATTTAAGCTTGGAGGGTGTTACCCTCTGGCAGGTGGTGCAGGCTTTCTCAGGGCAAGGAATTAATTGGTCTTCAACAGAACTCTGATGGTGGAGATAGGTTGGAAATCGCTGTGGTTTCCGGAACTCTTTGCCATAACTAGCACTAGGTTGCTACCCATGGAATTGCCCCACCAGGGGTAGCAGGTACAGGAGAGCTACAGTATGGAGACAGGAGACCAAAGCATAGTCAGGATCAGGTCCTGGTAGGTGGCAAGCAGAAAGAAGTCAGACAGTCTGGTTTGCAATGAGTAGGTGATAAACTAGGCTGGGGACAAGAGCGTTGATGGGGGCGTTCAGGCAGTGGCCTGGGCAGAGGGCAAACGAAGGGTAGTCAGACAGTCTGAGTCAGCAACAAGGGGGCAGAAAACAAGGCAGAGGATGAGAGAGAATATTTGGGCAATTCAGGTCAGCAAAAACAGGTAAGAG